GGACCTGCAGCCCTAGAGGTCCAACCCTCATGATGCCCCAAACCATACCGTGACAGTGGCCAGCAGCCCCTCAGGGACGTAGGCCACGACGATGGCCATGAAGAAGACCATGGCACGGAGAAAGGGGTAGCCAATGACCATGGCCACCACGAAGAAGGTGGCCCCGAAGAAGATGGCGAGGCCGGCGATGATGTCAACAAAGTGCTCTATCTCGATGGCGATGGGTGTCTTCTCGTTCTCCACACCTGAGGCCAAGCTGGCGATGCGTCCAATGATGGTCCGGTCACCCGTGTTGATCACCAACCCCATGGCTGTCCCTGTAGGACCCAAGTGGGTTAGGAGATCAAGGTGTCCAGGTGGGACCCAGACATCCAGATGGGACCCAGACATCCAGATGGAACCAAGGCGTCCAGGTGGGACCTAGATGTCCAGGTGGGACCCAGACATCCAGATGGGACCCAGATGCCCAGGTGGGACCCAGACATCCAGGTGGAACCCAGACATCTAGATGGGACCAAGGTGTCCAGGTGGGACCCAGACATCCAAGTGGGACCCAGATGTCCAGGTGGGACCCAGACATCCAGGTGGGACCAAGGTGTCCAGGGGGGACCCAGAGGTGGGACCCAGACATCCAAGTGAGACCCACACATCCAGGTGAGACCCAGATGTCCAGGTGTGACCCAGACGTCCAAGGGGGACCTAGACTCAACAAAGTGCTCTAGGTGTCCAGGTGGGACCCAGACATCCAGGTGGGACCCAGACGTCCAGGTGGGACGTACCTTCAAGGCACATGGTGGAGAAGAAGGCGATGTTGCGGGTCTCCAAGGGTGAATCATGGGTGCACTCAGGTGAGCGCGTTTGAGGCTCCGACTCTCCCGTCAACGATGAGTTGTCCACCTGGAGATGATGATGAGAAGACATAGTTGACCCCAGGTGTGTGGTGTCACCTTTCCAAAAGGACCCAAGAATCTTGGCCAACCTTGCAACCTTGAGCTGAGATGATCCGGATGTCTGCAGGAACTCGATCTCCACCTTTGATCTCCACCAGGTCACCGACCACCAACTCGTTGGCGTTGATCTGTAGTTTGTCCCCTTCCCGGATCACCGTGGCTTGCTGAAGGTGACAGAAGAACCCAGAGATGTTTGGGTGGAGACCCAGATGTCCAGGTAGGGAGATGACCCAGATATCTGGGTGGTCTCACCTGAGGAACGAGGTTCTTAAAGCTGGCGATGATGTTGGTGCTCTTGAACTCTTGGTAGTAACCAAAGCAACCGGTGACCACGACGACGGCGATGAGGGCGATGGCGAGATACAGCTAAAGGTGGTGGGGACAGGATCAGGCCCCGTGGGGTGGGGACCAAGGTGTCCCAGAACCCCTCATCCAAGAGGACCTAGACCTCCAGAAGGTCCTAGGCATCTAGTTCCTGCTCAAGAACCCCCCCCCACTTTGCCCCCTCTTAAGGGTTCTTGGTTTCCAGGTGCCCCCCCCAAGATGAACCCAGATGTTCTCCAGATGGACCTAATAGTGGGTCACACCCAAGTGTCCCATCCAGATGGACCTAAGTGTCCTGACCCTGCATGGACCTAAGTGTTCTCCAACCCAGGGACACAAATGTCCCCCTTAGATGGACCCAGATGTTCTCCTGATGGACTCAGGCTTTCCCCCATGCAGCAACCCATGCATTCTTCTAGATGGACCCAGATGATGAGGTCAACAGGTTGGTGGGTGTCATGGAGTTGATTGGGGTCAATGGATGGGGTTGGTGGGGTCAACAGGGTTGGGAGAGGTCATGGCGTTGACTAGGGTCAATGGGGTTGGTGGAGTCAATGGGGTCAACAGGATGATGTGGTCCACCCCAGGTAGACCCAGATGTTCTCCTAGATGAACCCAGATGTTCTTCATCCCAGATCTTCTCCCCAATGAACCCAGATGTTCCTCAACCCATGGATTTATGCATGTCCCTTCTAGATGAACCCAGATGTCCCCTCCAAGATAGACTCAGGTGTCCAACGTACGTTGTCGGAGCTGCCACGGTCACCCTCTCCCTCCTGGACACCGTAGGCGATGAGGCAAATGGCCGCCGCCACCCACATCAGGCACTGGAGGCCCCCGGCCAACTGTCGCCCAAACTTGACGCATTCAGGGGTCCCCCGAGGAGGACGGAGCTCGTTGGGACCATCCCGCAGCAGCCGCTCAGCTGCCACCGCCTCCACCAGGCCCTGCCGGGGTCAAGTGGGGTCATGGAGTCAATGGGGTCAACAGGGTTGGTGGGGTCAATGGGGTTGAAGGGTCAACGGGGTTGGTAGGGTTGATGGGGTCAACAGGGTTGGTGGGGCCAATGGGGTTGATGAGGTCAACAGGTTGGTGAAGGTCATGGGGTCAATAGGGTGGATGGGGTTGATGGTGTCACTGGAGTTGGTGGGGTCAATGGGGTTGGTGGGGTCAA